CTGCCCCTATACTAGTTAGATCAAAAGCTTGGGAGTGGGACCCAAGCATTTGTAAAAGTTCTCTAGATGATGCTAGTGAATGCTGAGTATCAGAATCTCAGATAAGTCATTCAGAAGAGGCTTAACAGAATCTTGGTGAGAGTACATGTATGAGATTTGAAAAAAGCCTCGCAAGCCTGCAGTGGATCTTCCTTCCCTCCAAAATTGGGAAACACCTGTTTTAAATGCTTATGAGATGGACCTAGAACCTAATCCACTATAGAATGCAACCATAAATTCCACGAGCTTAGTCTTATTGTGACCAGTGGCTGGGAAGCTCCAAAGCTTTCCAAAACAGCTCTAAGTCTCTACAAAAGCATTTTAAAATTGTTAGCACTATTAGAAGCCACATTCTCTCCTTGTGACCACGACAGAACACTAGAAGATATAAAAAATTAAAATCTATAGAAAATGGCAGGTTATTTTTAGAACAAAATACTTTAGGAAAAGTGTTCAGGCTAAATACAGTATATAAACCCGTGTGTGTTCAACATATCCAATTCCACTCCTGCTTGCAAAATACTTATTTTACATACAATCTTGCCAATGATCAAAAAAACAAAACAGCAAAGAGAAACATGTGCAAAGCAAAACAAGAAAACATATTCATGCTCTTCAGTATTGATGACAAAGCCACATGTAAAAAATTACAAATTCAAAAATAGAGCTCCATAATCCAAGAATTGCCTTTTTTAAAATTTACATTTAGGGTAGTCTACATTTTATTGGTTGTTTGCATAGGTGGTAAGAACATGCCTTCTGGGTTATATGGAGGCGAAGCAAAATTGTTGTCATTACTTGGGGAAAAAATGACTGGTCATGCTCAAATTGCAGCTGCAAAACGAACACTTTGAGAGTTGATCAAAAGGCAGTGTGAAACACTAAGTGTTCATTTAAAGAAAGCACAGGATTTCCCCTCAAAAAATGTAGTCAGGTTTAATACAATAATGTATCCTTTATGAACATTAAGACAGAGAGTCGGCATGGTAGTAGCAGCTACTTTCTGTTTATGATATAGGCACTGGTTTGTCAGCAAATTTTGTTCTTCTCAATTCCAAATAATACAAGTTCAACACGCCTCACAGAATATGTGTTTTATTGAAACTGTGCTTATGATTTGCATACTGTCTCAAAAATCCAACCCAGAAACACTAATTATCTTGGCATCCAATAATTCTGATAACCTATGTAGGAAACAACAACTTCAGCTCTTCAGTAATTTGTCAGAATGAAATGTAACGTCAGATGTCAATCTATTTTTAAAAACATGTTTATTTGAAATAAGTGAACTTTGTTCACAGCTCATCTCTGCTCCATTTTTCCTAAAGGCTGACACTACTGCTTCCTGGACATACTGTCCCTAGTTTTTTCCATGATAGTTACTTTAGAGGGATGGCAATTTGTCCCCCTCCCCCAACCCCCACATCTATTTCATACACACGTGAATGACCAAATTCTAATAGAAAGTGACTTCGTAATGGATTTTCAACCCCTAGGTAGTAGAGACAGCTCAGTCTGAAAAAGTGGATGTAAGAGTAAAATGTCTCCGAAGATGAAGAAGGGCACTTTTGGTTTCCGGAACAGGAGAGACTTGCTCAAGAGGACCACAGGCCTTGACTGGTTCACCAGAATCCATCTGCTCTCTTTGTTTGGGGGGGGACCGTCACCCCATTTAGGGTATCACTGGCATCCCCTGGCTCATCGGCTGGGCTCCCAGGATTCCTCGGCTATAGCGAATTCCTGACGCTTTCCGCTTCCCTTTATGAGCAAAGCAGGCCCTCAACGAATGCTTGCAGAATGAATGAATGAATGAGGAAAGAATGATTACAAGGGTTTAGGGCAGCTTCATAGAGAATTACAATATTTTACCAGACCACAAATACTCCCACATCCATTTCTATTGGCCCAGCAAGGTATTACTTCCTTTCAGTTAGGCTGCTTTTAGGATGGGAAAACACAAGGGCGAGGAGGTGATCTTGAGATGACGTGAGCTTAACAGTTTCGTTGTGCTTCCACATTATACAAGGGATTACAAAGGCAAGGTATAGGGCTGTCTGAAGGAATGACATAGCCTCAGTGCACTGGATGTTCACAGGAAAAGAAATCAAAAATAAAAAGTTTTTTTAAAGCAAAAAACATTAAAGAGCCACACTCCTGTCAGGGATTACTCTCTGCCTACCAGGCAATAACTGCTCTAATCAGGCCCACCTGGTTGCCAACCAGACACTCAGGCCCACCATCCTTGGCAGATCATTTTTAACCCCAAAGCATAGATATGCTCAGTGTGCCAAACATCACAGGGAAAATAAAAAACAAAACAAACACCAGGTCCCTAACCTACTGAACAACTGAATTGAACCAAGTAATAATTCTACCATAAGATCTTTCACACCTCAAAGAGTACCTTCAAACTTTTGGGCAAATAACCTTTGCTGTGACTTAAAGGTACCTAGTAGATATGGATGAGATTTTCATTGTTTACCAAGCACAGAAATGGAACAGCTTAAAGATGCGTAGACAATGCCATTATACTTCCTGATTTTTTTTTCATTTAAATCTGGAAAAAAAAAAAAAGACTAAACTCCATAGACATATTGTTTACAGATACTAAAATTTTATTTCTAGGTCCCGTGGAAAATTAAAGAAATTTGTAGAGTTTTTTTGTTTGCTTGTTTTTGTTTTGTTTTTGTTTTTTGTTTTTTTGAAAACACTAGATATAATGGAAAATCCATTCCTGGAGGACTTGAGAATAAAAATATTTGCCACTGTGAAAGTTAAACTAGATCCTACTTATGCTTAACTGGTAACAGCCCCAGAAAAAGGTGTTATTAAAACCCTGTATGTAGTCAAACTATAATTCTGAGGCTGTTTCAGAGTTTCAGATAGGAGATTTCAAATGAGATTTATCTATTTCAAAGAGACGAGAGGCTCAAATCAGACAAACATTCAACTCCTGATACTGATGATCCCATACTTGGTGCATCCTTTCCAGGAAATAAAAGTGACACAGAAAAACCAGCGGTGGCTAAACACTGATGGGGCTGTCAGTGTGCCTGTGGAAGCAGTGACCACACTGAGGGCAGCCAGTCTTGGACAGTCACACTACAGTAGAGGAGAGGAACGCTGCTTTGGGAGACCAGAAGCCCATGCAGTGGAACAGCGATACCTAGTGAAGGAGTGAGTACAGGACCGAGTGCACCGGGCAACAGGCTCACGTTCAATGAACTTCATGGAGCACTATGGTAACTTTCACAAGGCTGAGTAGCCAAGTCTTAAAAATCGCAAGGGTCTAAAATGCCAGCTACACTCAACAGAAATGGCCTCCAGACTTGCAAGTTACCTGCTAATGCTCAAAGTAGCAGCAAAATAAAGTTAGAAACCTATTGGAAATATTTCCCAAGAGGTATTCACGGGGGGGAGGGGGGGACAGAAAAAAAAAAGGCAGTGCAGAATTCATAGCTATGCATGTGTACATGTTCTAATTACTTCACACACAGCAATACTGAAAAGGGAGGTTATAAATGGATCTGTGCACCAAGAGTTCAGGAAGAACTGGAAGGGTTTATAATTTTTTTAAAAGTTAATATTTAAAAGCATATATAGCATGCTATATTTCATGGCAAAGTGACAAATGCTATTCAAAGAGAAATCAGGACCATGACTCTCTTGACATTTAAAAAAAATAGAAAAAAAAAAAAGCTAAAAATTGCCAGGATACCTCCAGAAAGCTTGAAGAACTATGTATCTTGCTTATCTGTGAGATTTTTGTGAGATTCCCTGGTTTTCTAAACAAGAAATGCAATTTGCACTGACAATGCCAGATGGAACATGCTCCAATCCTGCTTCTGAGTCCTGGGTAAGAGATTAAGTCTTAATAGCACAAAGAAGAAATAAATGACTTACTGAAAAGCAGTCTACAACTGAGACTGACAGGCAGCATCAGAAGTGCACACATAATACTTTGTCACACGATGCTTCAACACACCATCAACTGACTTTTGGCATTAGGCAACTTCTTTCCTCTCCAAGTTACAAGAAACATGGGCATGCGCACACAGGGCAACACGGAGCTTTCAGCTTCTAACATAGAAAAAAGCAACATCAGAGAAGGAAAATGGTACAGATTCATGCGTCCAGTTCAGAATCCATTTTTTTTCCGGAAATCTTTCAAAGGTGTCAACTGCTCTATATTTCAAAATCCCATGGCCACAGCTAGCGAATTTAGAAGGAAAACAAAATTAATCAGTGACTGGCTCTCTGGCTGTCCAATTTGCCACCTCTTAGGACACATCCTAAGAATCAAGACAGCTTATGGTACACACATCTTTGCAGATATGAAGCTATGAAAGACTTCATTTCTACCTCTAGAAATTTCTATCTGTGGCAGTCGGAGAAATGACAGTCACTCACAGGCCACCTTCTTCGTTGTGCATCCACCCTAGACTAGCTGAGTATATACCTGAGAAACATTAGTGTTAAAATATTGCCCTTTGCAGAGACTGGTAGATGGGGCCAAAGTGCAGAAAGCAACAGTCTTCTCTCGGTTTGTTTCATTGTTAGCGTCACAGTTTTTAGAGCTCCTGGTGCCACACGACAATTAGCTGTGAGGACAAATCCTGCTCAGATGAAACCCAAGTCAAATAACCGATCCTTCCACAGCACACACTGACAGCTTAACTGGTTCACAGGTTTCCAAACCCTAGTATCCAACAAAAGTCATTAGAGTTCTCTAGAAAGAAATATGTACAATTGCTAAAGGGACCACCCAGGGTCTCGTCTACAATTATTCCAGTTAGCTTGGTATCAATGCTTTGCCTATGGCTGTTATTTGGTTCAATGGCAGAATAAGGCGACGCTTTTAACAATCTGCAGTTGAATTCTACACACACACACACACACACACACACACACACACTAGGCACGTGACCCGAAACATACAAAACAAAAGCATAGAGGGCTTTGGTGGGAGGGAAGGGGTTCTAAATAAATAAACATCTTTACAGATAAAACACTTGGATTGCAGAAACATCACTGAGGTTTTTGAGAAGGCCGTGCAGAGGTTTGCATGCTAGAAGAAAACTGTTTTGAGGATTTTGCAGCAGACTGCCTGCCACCAGGAGATGGGGGCACTCCAGAATCTAGAAGGGAAGACTTGGATTTGCGAGCGGACAGCAGGGACTGTTTAGCAGAAGCAGGGTCCTTGGAGACAAGCTGCTCTTTTCCAACTGCACTTGCACTTGGCTGCTGGGAACCTGGAGGCTGGTAGCCTTTCTCTGCCTTCTCATCCCCAGCATTCTTACCAGCCAACTTGACAGAGCTCCCACCGGCCTTCTTGGAGAGCAAGGTTGTTTTGCCAAGGTCAGTCGACCGCCGGGTTTCCTTCTGTCTCAAGGCTGACTTGAAGAAGGACAGCCCCTTGTCCTCCGACTTGCTGTCCCTCTTCAGACCAGCCTTCATGTTTGTGTTGGGGGAACGCAGGCTGGCCATGGAGGAGCTCCTGACATGCTTTCCGTCACCTCGGCCCTCCCCCGACCTGGCCTGGCTCACCCGAGGGGAGTTGGGTTTAGAGCTGGAGGTGATGCTGGCTCTGTCCGAAGCCAGGCTTTGCCTGGAGCCCTCTCTACTCAAGCTCCGGTCTGAAGTCCTGCTCTTCCCAGGAGGGAAGGGACCCCTTGCAGCAGGGCCCGAGGCTTTTTTGGCAGATGTGGAGGAAGCAGTGTAGGTGAGGGAAGAAGATGATTTCTGCTTCTGGGGCGAAGGAGATGACACGGAGTCCTGGGGTTTGGGGGAGGACTCCTTTCTGGGCTGGCCAGAGGCAGGGGAGGAATGCTGTCCACTGGCCCTGGAAGAAGAATCTGCTTTGCTTCGGGATCGGGAGGGCTTTATAGAAACTTTTACAGGAACAGGAGAAGAAGGGGATGTACTTGAAAGAGATGATTCCTGGCTTGCCAAGACTGGTCTCCCCTTCCGCAAGCTTCTATCTGGCTCAGAAGTGCCTTTGGAGCTGGGGGATCTCTTGGCTGTGCTGTCTGATTTCTTTGTGAGGGAGCCCGGGTGGCTTGTGGGTTTCACCTCTTTGACTGGAGAGCTGTCTACAGAATCGCTCTGATCCACATAAGCAATCTGGTTATTGTTATCAAATGGATCAGAGATTGGGGGCACACGATCCCCCTGTGCTGAGTTTTTGCTCTGTGTGTCTACAACACTGGAGTTCAATTTGCAGGTGTCTGATTCATCTCTGAACACACCTTCCATGACAGCCAGAGGGGCCCGGCCCACAGCCTTGTGCTCACGTCGGCTGTGACTATCACTTGGTTCCTGGTAACTGCTGGCAAGGTTCCTCAAGCTGCCAAAGCAAGAGATGGAGACCTTGTCGTCCAGTGCCTCCCCAATCTTCTCCAAGGTGGAGGCAGAGGTGTGGATCGGAGAGTCCCCTGAGAACCGGGAGGGAGAACTGGAGCGCATCTGCAGCTTGGCGGACAAGGACCAAGAAGGTCTAATGCAATTGTCGTTAACGGCCAAGGGGCTGGTGACAGAAGATCTGGATGACAAGCTCTGACGCTGGACACTTCTCACGAATGGTCGAGTTGAGAAACCTCCTGAATGCAGCAGAGAGAATAGCATTAAGCTAAACCGAAAACACGTCCCAGCAACACCTTAAGATATTGAAGATGGAAGGAAGGTAAGTCTGGTGGAATGACAGGAGCGTGACTTTCAGAGCCAGCATGTCTGGGGTCACAAGAGCAGCCACGTGACTTCAACTTTTCTGAGCTCAGTTCTCCTATCTATAAAGTAGGGACATTCTAACTCAGGGATCAGCAAACTGTCTCTTTACTTCTTGCTGTACGTCAGGGGTCAAGAGACTTAACGGCCCAGGCATTAATACTCTAGGCTTTGTGGACCAACTACTCAACTCTGTCACTGCAGCATGAAAGCCACCACAGAAGACACATAAACAAATGGGTGTGGCTGTGTTCCAATAAAACCTTATTTACAAATAAAGGCAGGGGCCATATTTGGCCCATAGGCTGTCTGCTCTAACTCACAGGACTACTATAAGAAATAAAATCCTGAAAGTCCTATGCCCACCTGGCATTTCATAGACGCTTAGTAAATGTGAGCTACTGATCCAGCTTCTTCATCTAACTAAGGAGAACCAGGGCCCACAGAAGTCAAGTCGTTGCTCAAGATTACACAGAATCAGAGGCAGAGCTAACACCAGAACCACAAACCCTTGCCCCCGACTCAATGCCACATGCAGCCTGGCTTGTAATTATTGACTATAACAGCAGATTGGTGGAAAGAACCAGAGATGATACACTCCTATCCTGAGTGACTTCAAACTTCTAAAGGCAATATCCATAATTAGAATAATATACTCCTGAGTCATCTCCAACTTCCAAAGAAAAAGTTCATAATTAGAACTACATACTTCTATTTTGAGTGCCTTAATACTTCCTTCCAAAGAAAATATTCTAAATTAAATTTCATAGATCCTTTGGTACCGTAGCTGTGGTATTTATAAAACCATCCAGATAAGACTCCCAGAGACAGGCTCTGTTCTGTGGGCACCACCCGGCGCCAGTGTGATGATGATGCTTAAGAGGATACTGATTTCACCAACTACACAGACCGAGGGCAAACCAGCTTACTGTTAAAACAACAGTGAATTCTAAATTTAAAGGCTTCATTGAGAAAAACCTCTACCTAAACAAGCAAAGAGCCACTGGCTGGTTTTCTATAAAATGTCAGGAGCTTAGCAATTCCAGCTAAGTACTCTTGTTATTTTGTCTACAAGCCAGAAGAGGGAGCGGTGCTGGAGCTACAATGACGCAGACCTCCCCGGCCAAGCGGCCCCGTCCAGCCTCCTGTTGTTTCCCTCCACTTCACGTTCTCACAATTACCCATCATGAGACGCAGATTACAGGATTACAGCAACCGACATGCTGGCCGCAGAAGACTTGCTGGGAGATGAGTCACCATCCTCATTAGAGAAGCTGAGCTCACTCTCACCTCCTCCCAGCCTCAGCGCCTGGGCTGCCTGATCCTTCCTGCACCACCTGGGGCTCCTGTCAGAACTGAGGGTTCTGCTGCCATTACTCAAGCGGTAGGTAAAGGTAAAAAAAAAAAAAAAAAAAAGAGTTCTATTTGTATCATATTTCCCAAGTTTTTGTATTGTGACCATCTTCAGAATTCTTAAAAACTACCTTTATGCAGAGGCAAGAGTTTTTGTTCTAGATGCTTCTGTACTTAAAAGAACATGCCACAAATTCCTCTAAAGGAAACCGCGGTGGAAAGGGGAGAAGCCAAGAGTCAGGAAGCCCCCAGCGGAGCCAGCACAGCAACTCCTCCTTGCCAGGAAGGAGGCCCTGGGCAAATCACCACTCTTGTGGAGTCCCCTTACAGCTTATTTTAGGAACTTTGAAAAGCACTTTGAAAGAAATGTATACATTATTCTACAGAGTTAAAGCTCCAGCCTCCACGCTAGACCTTAGAAGTGGAAAATAATGAAGTAGGAGGAGAAAGTCATCCTAGAGGTCACAGAGGAAAAGCGAATGACCCAGTTTATCGAAAATGGCACTTATGATTGTAACCCACAGCTACACAGCTCTTTTACCTTCTCCCAGTCTTCTTGGGGCTTAATTCCTAAGCATGAGGGACCCTGTGCTGTGTCTGTGAGACACCAATGTAGAAATGTGTCACAAAACCCATACCCACCATCGTCTTCACTCCTCTCCCCAGCCATCTCCACCGACTCGGACAACGAGGCCAGAGAGGTGCGTCTGGAGGAAGCTGCGGAGGTCACGCTGGCTTGCTTGCTCCCCGGAAGCCGGCTCACCCAGTGTTCACACAAGGAAGAACTTGTGGAGCCTGCAGTAAAGGAAGCGGGCACTGAGGTCAGGCCAGAATCCCGGGCCAGCGGCTTGGCACACACCCTCACGAAAGTGCTGATGCTGGAGCTGGGAGGTGGCCGACATCAGTATTAATTCCCAGATCCCAAGCAGACCTGTGCCTGTTTGAATATCCCTTTAAGATGAGAAGAAGGAGGCCAGACTCTCACACGTTTATAATAATGAAATGCAAGTATAGGCATGGACACTTAGTAATGCAAAGTGCAGGTCTTAAGTGCTGGCAATAGAATCGTTCATACTCATTCTACAAATATTTATTAAGCACCTACTGCTGAGTACTGTTCTAAGCACACACAGAAAAAATTCTGACACAGAGCAAATAAAAGTGGCATGCTCCGTTATCTTCTTAGCCTCACTGCTTTGTGGAGTCGTTACGTCATTTCCACGATGTTAATATACAAACACAAACACATGCACACACCCAGGATATATGTCAATCTGTACTGTCCATTCCAGGGATGCCCTGAAATATATTCCAGAGCAACAGAAACTGCTCTCAAAATTGAGAACATGTCTCAAACAGATCTCAAGAGGGTGTAATTTCCAAGTATATCTCAGGCTCCGGAAAGCACTGGGGAAAAGCACTAGAGCACTAGAGTTCCCACTCTCTTAAAGGAATGAGTGGCTACGGAGAGGCAGGTGTGCTGAGTGGGGCTTGACTCCAGCAGGGGCTCACTCTGCTTCAGCTGTGCCTCCTTTCAGCGGCTTCGAACCTACCCCTCACAAGCTTCAACCCAGGGCTAATACTCTCTAACATGATCCCATGTTACCATGTCCCCGTCCTCAGCCACAGTCTCTTAAACTCTGCATTAAGAAGCATGCATCGCCTTGCCTGGACTGTGTGGCTGCATCCAGACTAAACCCCATCCAGCTAAACCCAGCCCATCTAATAGACCGTAGCCTTCAACCCTTCTAATGGAACAGGCCGACTGCATAGGGAAAAAGAACTATTTTTAATGGCGCTTTACCTTTTCTAAAAGGCTCTAACGTACATTTTCCTAATCTGATGCACACAATGAACCCATAAGGCAGGTATTATTAGTACTCCCACATTACAGATGATTAAACATGTGGCTTGGATGGGATGTGCTCCAAGATGATGGATCCAACCAAAACATGGCAAAGCCAAGTCTCATTCCCTTTTAGAGTAGCATGCTGTACTGCTTTTTTTTCCTTCCTTCCTTTCTTTCTTCCTTTCTTCCTTCCATTCATTCATTCATTCATTCCACAAGCAAATATGGCGTGCTCACTTTGAGACAGGCTCTACATGCTTCTATGTGAATGCTGCTGGTTCACACATTCCACCCCTATTTCCTTGACCACAATCATTTTGGTTTCCAGATTAAATGCAAATGTGAGGATTGATCTGATCAACCCCACAGAGTCATGAGACCTTGTGGAGAAGTTCTCTGGACCATTAATTACAATCTTCTGTTCTAGAAAAACTTGCCAAAGAATAAGCTGGCCTTACCTGCCACTGAGCTATTGGCCGACCATGATGGAATGGCTGTCCGCCTCTGGTAGAAAAGGATGTACGCCATCTGTGTGCAGACCTCATCTTCCGACAGCTGCTGCACATCACTGTCATCGAAGCAGTACCAGAGGCCATCCACAGAGTTCTTACAGTACGCTGCCAAAGAAGAGCCTGTCGTCAGTACCAGGGGAGGCGGGCACCAACTACTCCACTCTGCCCACAGACACCAGTGCTTTGGCTCATATCATTAACTCAAGAGCTTTTTAAGGCTGCGTGTAGTAACATACGAAGGGGTAAAAAACCCAAATAGCCTATCATGCTCAGGCAAAATGTTTCAGGAAATTCTAAACTATTCCAAATGGACAAAATTCTATTTAATCTTAGAAAACACAATATACTCATTTATTTAAACCAGTGGGTCTCAACCTGGGACAATTTTGCTCGCCTAGGGACATCTGGCCATGAATGTAGACATTTTTGACTGTCACACTAGGGGTTAGGGTGCTACTGGCATTGAGTGGGTGACCGGGGATGCTGCTAAACATTCTACAATGCCCAGGACAGTCCCTGCCACAAGAATTATCCAGCCATACTGTCAAGAGTGCTGAGGCTGGGAAACCCTGATATAAGCATGTCGTCACATTTGTGTTTATTAGAGATAGAAAATAGAACTAGAAATAATGATACTAATACTAGCAGGAGCTAATATTTGTTTAGCCCTTATTATGTGCCAAACTTATCAGCTAATCCTATGAGATTTGTTCTATTATTATTTCCATTTTACAGAGGCTCAAAATAATGAACGAGTTTCCCAAGGTCAAGCAGCTGGTGAAAGGCAGGGCCCAGTTCATATCAAGTGTATCTAGTCCCTGAGCTTGCACTTAAACTACCCCACCCTGCTTCTCAGGGATAGCACAAACAAAGCCCCAGTGGAAGTCCCCCAGCAAACTAAGAACATTTAAGCTCATAAATGTATGCGTGTTTCTCTCCAGTTCAAATTCTAAGCCTGAGAGAGAAATAAAGACCATTCGAGTACCAACAAAAGCAGGCAAGAACTTAGTGTTCATGAAGCCATGTGATCTTGTAAGGATATATCAAGAGGTGTGATTAAACTTGATGCAAAGGGGTACATTCTTATCACGCTTTCTAAAAATACCCATTTATTGGAGTAAGAATAAATGAGTGCTAGACTATTTTGCACACTCCAGGGGCCTGAGGCACCAAACAGTGACTCCCTCGCAGGCGACAACCACATTTGTGAGTATGAAACCTTAAGAAATGAAAGGGACTGAGGTGAGGAGGGGCTACACCTCGCAGGTCCCCGAAGAGAAGAGCAGAATAAGAATCTTTGATAGTGGAGAGGGAAATCATGGACTGCTATGGACTCCTAGGACCAGAAGGGGAGAGAAGTAGAGAGAGAGGTAGCACATGGAGCTGGTAAAACAGCAACTAGCCAGTGGTGTCAGGTCAGGCTCGATACAGAAATGACCCAGCTGGCAAGGTGGCTGCTCTTCTGGAGTAGGACTCGCCCAAGACAAGGTAACAGAATAGCCCAGCACTAGCATCAGTCTGTTTCTCTTCAGGGTGGTCTGTTTCCAGTCACAGCAAGGCAACTAAGGCAGCACGGCAAATCACTAATGGTTTCAGTGTATTTACCAAATAATTCTACTTGCTTTTCTTCCTGGCACTAGCTTCTCAAGTGTTTTCTAGACAAGTGCTACTCAAATTGTGGTTCATAGACTGGTGCCAGTCCACAACAAGATAAGCACCCAAACTGAAATTAGCATTTAAATAGCAATCTGACACTGCTGTCATATTCTTTCTGTATTTTTACAAAGACTGATTCATGAAAAACTGGAAATTTTGAAAAAGAAAAAAGGCAGGTTCTTCATCATGGAAGTTTGATCTAGAATTCATACACAAGTTAGCCATACACGTACCATGTGATTACAGCTAGAACTAGTGCAAAATAAAATTCCAAATAAAGACTTAAAAACATGTTATCTTGAATTCAACAATACAAAGGCATTTAAAATGTTCTCTAAACTAAAACCCTAAACTTTTATGTATCAATCAGAAAAGCAGTGGTATGGCCTAGGCATCACAAAGGGGAAATAATGCAGAAAGTGCCTAAGCTCTTCCTAGGTAACAATAGGTCGCGAGAGGCAGGTCCGAGCACGTCTAGTTCACTGGCGTAGTCACCAAGTTCATGTAAGGTCACCTGCTGTAGGTCACAGAGCGTGGAAGAGGTGTCTAGCTTCTAGCCCACGCTCCTGACTAAACTCTGAGGCCTCCCAAGTACCTGCAGGTTTTCAGGCATCTTCCAAATGCCTATATAAAGAAGAACACGATAGGATAAAATCCAGTACTGTCCTATTTTTCTCAACAATTTCTTGTTAGAAAGTGCATTATTTTCCTGAGAAACAATATTATCAATGGAAGACACATTCTTTACCAAAGCTGAAGCTGCATGAACACTAACCAGGGATGCTGGAAAAGGTGTTACTACACCAGCTAACCAGTGAACTGAAATCACCTCTAAGTCCCTTTCCATTTGAAGAGTCCATGAGTGTCTAATTCTATGACTCAGTATCAAAGAACACAGACATGACTGGTAATGCCACAAAAGCAAACATCCAATCAGGCACATGACATTTAAATGCAATTGGCCCCATAAAATATAAATACAAAATATGCAAGACACAAAATTCAGTCTTATCAGATTTTAAATTTGATTTAAACCAAAATACAAGGTAAAATAGATCTAAATGTTGAATTAACTTTTGTCTTCTAGGGTCTTCGACTTCTCTATCTCGTTTTTCTCCCTGAGTGTGCTTCCTAGGGCGGGTAGAGGCGAAACAAACCGTTCTACAATGAGATACACTCCAAGTTGGGATCATTCCTCTCACAAATAATTGTTGCCTGTGGCATCTAGGTACTAAATGAACATGAGCTAAAAGGGTTTCAAGAATAAAAGATTACTGTATCCAGTCACCTGCCCCATCCCTGCCTCCTGTGGTCTCCGAGAGCAGGTTGAGTGAGTGTGCTGGTGGAGGGGTTCAGGAGCCTGCTGAGGGGGCTCTTGGGGCTAACTGCTAGGGAAGAGTCTCACAGATTTTTAAAAACTAACTGGTGGAGCCCAACCTCCTCCACCTCCCCTGACCTTTACGAATCACTGGTGCCCTGGAGTCTTATTGCATGAAGCACTGAGTTCATGAAGAAAGGAAGTCCCTGGAAGTACACATGTGAAATGTGCTTAGTGTGAAGGAAACAAAAATCCAAGTCCTGGCCACCCACCCATACAGACTACCAAATTAACAGCAGCGCCCTCCATGGACTCCCCCTGAACACAAATGTCCAAGGAAGAGTCCCCACACCTGCCTGCCACCCCGAGGTTCACACATGCCCTTAAGCCAAATAATTCCAGTTCTGAGACCAATCTCGAGGAATTACAAAACCAGAATATAAACTAAAAGATGTTCATCAGTTTTACAGTCAAAGTTAAAAACCAGAGACAGTAGACATGTTCAACAATGGGGAATGGCTATATAAAATTAGAGTTCCACCAACAGAATGTTCTGTGGTCATGAAAAAACAGTGTTTATAAAAATTAAGCACCAACATCCAAATACTTCTGTTACAATGAAGTGTGAAGACTGGGATACGGGGACATGCACACAGCGCTCGCACCTCACTGTGCTTCTGATTCTGAAACTTTTATTGTCTGTCTCCCCATCAGCCCATCTGGTCATGAAGTACAGAGAGCAGGTTACTATCCCCACAGCTTCTCCTGTGCCTCCAGTATGCTCTGATCACATTCCCATGGCCCCCTGCTCTACCCCCTGCGCACATTTCCACCACAGAACCTATGACACATTACTGATCTTATGTATCATCTGGCCCTATTTCCCCCTACCTGATTACACTCCTGGAAGACAGAGGTTGAGGCCTATTCATTTCTGATGTGCCTCTGATGTGAGCCCAGGGCAAGCTATGTAGGACGTGCTCCATGAATGTTCACCTAAATAGAACCTACCAGTACAATCATGATAGTGTAAAATAATGGCCAAAACTTACAGAAAAACACTGGAAGAAATGTTACCTACATACAAGGGATATTATTATTCAGCCTTAAAAAGGAAGGAAATTCTGACACATATTAGAACATGGGTGAATCTTACAGACATTATGCTACATGAACTAAGCTGGACACAAAAGGACAAATACTGTATGGTTCCAGTGACAGAAGGTTCCAGGAGTAATCAGATTCACAGAGACAGGAAGACTGGTGGTGGCCAGGAGATGGGGGGAAGAGGGCAGAGGGGAATTACTGTTTAATGTTTCAGTTTGGGAAGAAGAAACGTTCTGGAGACGGGATGGTGGTGAGGGCCGCAAAACAATGGGAATGTACTTAACGCCACTGAACTGCACACTTCAAACATGGTTCTAATGGTCAATTTTGATATGTATATTTATCGCCATTTTTTAAAAAATGTTGCCAATGGTTATTTTTGAGTGATGAGCCCATGGATAATGGTAATGTTCTCTCTTTCTCTCTAGCCTATAAATTTCAGATAATGAACACAGTCGTTTTTAAAAAATGAAAAATAAATTTAGCCTTAAAACAAAGAGAAAAACTCTTCCAAGTCACTATAAAGACACTATAAAGCTGGTTCATAAAATCACTCCAAATAAGGGAGAAGCTAGAATTTCAAGGAGGTGGAGTGAAACCTTAAATGTGGAGTGCAGGGGAGGTAATCACAGTGAGCCCTTGGTGGCCCAGACGGCACTGTCTGCACGCACCACTCCCCAGTCAGGTCAGACAACTACTGGAGGACCCAACTCAGGAAAAGAAGGAAGAAATTTTGTTTATTTGCTCTTGGACAGCGATCCAGAGGATGAAAACTGCCCTCAAAGTTGGCACACTGTTCTAAAGCAAAAGTAACCCTGTCACAAGTAAAATCTGTCTGAAGGAAGGGTCAGCACAGACGCCCGGCCTCTCGCACTGCAGACCTGTGTAGTGCCCCCCTTGCATGGTGCCATGATGATTGCACACAGCATACAGGTCATAGACGTAGTCCTCAGGGTCCCTCCCGAGTCCATAGGGCCGTCTCCATGGAGACCAATGGGATGGCAAACTCCAGCTGCTCTGACTTCTCTTAACCACATGAGGTGTCATGTCCAGGCCGGTCAAGGGAAACTTGACCATGTTCTGAAGTTTCACACGCCTGTCTCCTTCCTGTTGCAAGAAGAAAAACAAGTTCCGATGATATTTTCATGCAAGTAGATGGTAGATCAGTTTTGTGTGGAATGTGGACCCTATCAGCTAGAGTGGTTTGAGTTACCTGATGTTTCCCAAGACACATTCAAAATAGGGAAACTCACTAACAGTTTTAACTATCTGGAGGAACAGGTTGTAATACCACTAAAAGTAGAACAAGCAATGACCTACATATAAGGGGTGATGAGCCTCTGAGGCCATTTCCTTATCTGATAGAGGTGTTTTAGGTTTTAGACTTACAAAATGACATTATCAGGCAGTTCATCCTGATACCTCTGTCACAGAGGCACGAACAGCGATGGAGTGCTCACGTACGTGAGGGATGACGTGCACAGAACAGTGCTGGATAAGCAGTGCGCCCTATCACCCTCCCCCCCCGGCTACCTCCTCCAACAAGCATGTTACCGCTTAACACTGACTTGATATATTCATTTAGTTGATCATCTTAGGTAATCTGTACTTTCCATTAAGGCCACTGGGAAATCCTCTGAAATCCAACCGTCAGCTCAATAGCTGTTTTCTAAATGTTTCCTGTGTCTGTGGGAGCTTTAAGAAATTAACAGCCATGGCTAACACCCACTGCAAGGAGCCATGGTTCTATTAAGAGAAGAAAAGTGTCCGTAAGAGAAAGGCAGGATGAGCCCTGGATGGTCAGGAAAGTCAGACTCAAGAATCTGGACCTTGTTCTGCAGTCAAGCACTGAGGCCTGAGGGCAGAGGGGATGTCGTCAGAGCTGTGTAAGCAGCGCACAGGACGTGGCACGAAGGGAGGAGCAGCTTAGGCTAAGAAATCAAGGAGAAGACAATGTAACTGCAACCAGCTGGGAAGTCTCACAGGTCTGCAGTGGCATGCTGACGGCAAGAATGGGGAGAAGGGGGGCGCCTGGGTGGCTCAGCTGGTTAAGCAACTGCCTTCAGCTCAGGTCATGATCCTGGAGTCCTGGGATGGAGTCCCACATCGGGCTCCCCGCTGAGCGGGGGAGTCTGCTTCTCCCTCTGACCCTCCCTCCTCCTCTCATGCTCTCTCTCTCTCCCATAAATAAAATCTTTAAAAAAAAAAAAAAAAAGAATGGGGAGAAGGGGACACACTCAGGAGGACATGCAGAGGCACAACCAAGCTGAAGAGGTAACTGGCTACAGGGGAGGAGCAAGAAAGAAGTCAAAAGCGACACTGCAGTTTTGAGTCCGAGGTGTGGTAAGGGTGGGGACACGCCTTCTAAAGAAATAGAAAGCGAAGGAAGTTAGTGTGCATATGTGGAAGGGGCCAGAGAAGGCTGGGCTCTGAGCCTCACCAGCTGTCTACCTGCAGATCCCAATGGAAGCATGCAGCTGGGACATTCTTTACTACAGGAGCCAGACCCTAAACCTTTGAGTGAAAGCCCAGCCCTGGGGATCCTGTGCATGTCACCGCAGACACCTCCACTTCATCAGCAAGTCCTAAATATCTTTTGATTCTATTCCAATCTCATCTCCATTGCCACTGCTCCAGAGAAGCCATCAGCACCCCTCCCCTGGATGGTTGCTTTGGTTCCCTCCAGATCTCCCCAGCTTCATTCGTGCAGCCTCACATTCTCCACGCTGCAGCCAAAATGGTCTCTTCAAATCACAAATTTGGTCATGTTGCTTCTCTGTTTATAACCCTTTATCAGAATCCCACTCTGCCACAAGGGTCTGCTTGGCCAGCCCCTGCGCACCCCTTCCACCTCAGCTCACAGCTTCCCCCATCCTCTGGAGCTGCAGCCAAACTGGCCTGCTTTCAGTCTCTGGCACATGCTATCCGCACTCAGGGCTTTGCACACATCGCTCCCTCTGCCACCGTGAGTGCACAGCCCTGCTCCCCTCACCTGGGAGATGCCTCCTCCTAATCTTTCAGATACAAACCTTAAAGCCAGGCCTCAGACGCTTCTTAAACATTTACTTCCTCTTTACCTCTCCTACAATGGGGCCTGCCCAGGACAACCCTAACCTCAGGGAATAGACAGCCTTTTCGAAAAACTGACTCAGAGTAATACAGCTCAAAGCAGCTTTTCTCTGTATATATTTATGACTCATCTTCCCAACTATACAACAGCTCCTTGGGAGCAGGATAACACCCATTATTACTTTAGATACAAAGAGAATTCTACCCACCCCAGAAAGGAGCTCTACTTTTTTTTTTTTTAAATACCAAAATACACTTACTAAAATTTAAAACACAGCATTCACAAATCTAAAGCAAGTCCTCAAGAACAAAGTAAAATATCTGCAGTATGAACTAAAATGTTTAGAATTTAAAGGGTCACAAGATGCTCAAATTTTGCTTTGGGTAAGAACAAAACATGACCCCAAACACTGGGGCAGATGTGTCTGTAACAACATGGACAGGAACACTAGATCAAACAGGGACACACAAAGAACCCATGCAGCCCACCAGTAGACGTATAAGAAACATGGGCACAGCTTTTCTCACTAAGACAGAGGATTTACCTACCTGTCGAAATCTCTTTAGATGTATAATAAGCACATCAGGCAGAGTCCAGAGGCTTAACGTAATGCTCCCCTGCTGCAGCTGCTTACAGTGCGGGCAGCGCCAGGCGTCATCTGGAGCAAGCTGAAAACAAGGACATGAAACGACTTCCGTTAAGCACCACTTAAGGCAAGACTTTCTACAGAAGACCATGGCACTCATTTCCCGGTCAGGGTGTGGTACGATTCGGAATCTCTCTGGAAACCACATATGGTGGGGAGTCAGTGGAAAAACACAATCACGAGAGGCACCTGGCCAGAGATGGCCCCCGAAGATTTGCTGAATAAATTCTCTCTCAAAAAGAGATGACTGAACAGGTAAATATTACACAGAGGACATTCAATGTCACAGAAGAACCTCAAATTCCACAAACTCCTAAACTCAACCTGTTGCCTTTCCATCAATATACTTTCTCCTCCTCCTCTAAGTCCTACCTCAGCAACCACCACTAGCACCCACCAAAAGCAGTACTCGAGGTGGGGAGGGCAGAGTATCCCAAACCTTCGAACCCCTCCCTCTTCCTCCGGTTCCACATCTATCCAAAGTAATTGTCTATGCCATATCATACACCTGTCTCCTCTACTCCATTCCCATGAAGATGGCCTTAATTCACAATCCTCACCCATGATCTTAACCTGGACTTTGGCGAGTCTCCTAACTGATCTCTCTCTCCCAAGCACTGAACCCCTCTAAACAATCCCCCCCCACCTCCTGCTATCAACAAGGTCTTTCTGAATGTCAATCTGAGGCTTCAGGTCTACATATGCCATCTCTGCAGGCGAGGGTTTCAGGATGGGGACATATTCAGTTAGAGGTGCCCACGAGGCATGTCTGGTGAGAAATTTAAATCCCCTCTGGAGTTCAGAAGATGCATCAGATCAGGGACCATGAACATGATGAGGTAAGGAAAGCATGCTGTGGATGACAATGCCCACTGAGATGGGACAGACAGAAGTCAAAAACAGAATCTTGGGGAAATCCTCGTTTTAAGGGAAAGAGCCTGAGGACGTATAGTCAAAAAAAACCAGGCAAACCAGAAGCTTTCTTTTTTACAGACTAAGGAGAGAGAATGGCAAGATCCTCGAGGGGTCGGCTGGAGATGGGGCAAAGGCCACAGAACTGAGCAAACCAGGGGCCACAGAGAGAGTTTCAGAGGGCAGTGTCACAAATGCAAGTCAGATGGAGGGAGGGCAAGAGCTGAAACCACCAATGGGGAATGAAGCAGAAAGGAGGAAGAGAAAGGTAGGCATGGTCACTGGAAAGGGAAACAGAATTGAGGGGATCTTCTTTTTTTTCATGACAGGGAGACCCAATCATGTTTGTAGGAAACATGGGGAGAAACAGAAGTTTGGGTAGATGGAGGTGGCTCAGACACAGACTGGCAGGGACCTACACTGTCATCCGTAAGTCTGCACCTCCGTTGACATATTAATAGTCTCCATACGTGGCCATCCAGCCCAGGGCTTGTAGTAAAAGGGCAAGTTGTTTATTTGTTTTGTTAATTTCCAACACAGACACTTGTACAAGATACAGTAAGAATGTCCTGACAATGTCTAATAGCTACGACATTTTCTAAAACGTCTCTGATTTCTGTACTTATCTTATTGTAAAGTGCTATAAAGAGCTCCTGGACCTGCAGACCATACTCGGAGCATCACTGGTCTAGCTAACTCTGCGTAGCAAATGAAGGACAGCTATCTCAGCAGGCAGCTATTTCATTTTCAGATGGTCTGTCAGAGAGTTCTTCCTCATATTAAGACAAACTCATTCTCCCTTGTAATTTCCAATCTTTAAGTTCTGCTTTTTAAATAGAATTAAGTCCAATCCCTCATCCACAGACAGTCCTTGAAGTGCCTAAAAATAACTATCAGATCCCCACTTAAGGCCTCCTCTGTCAAAAGACATTCAGCGCATCATGGTTTCCAGATGCACCATCCCCTAGCCACTCTCTCATGCCACGGTTTGTCAGTCTCTTTTAACCGTGAACATTTAAGGTAATGAAAAGAGCAGTGCTATCACCATCTGAGTTCTGGACACTATTTTAAAGTATCCTTGAGGCAGCTGGCGGTGGCTGACACGGTGGTGACTGTGGATCAGTACTGAGCTTGCGGACACCTAAACCCGAAGTTACCGCCTCACAGTCTGCTGCTAAATCCTATCTCCTCCTCCGTACCTGTTCTGTGATTTCTGGACCCAATGACTGAACTGCCCAAGTAATACTCACTTATTCACTCATTCTAGTATGTACCTACCAAACGCCTTCTCTGTGCCAGGCACTGCTTATAGATGCTAGGGTTATTTTATGACCAGGACAGACTCTCACAACTCTCTTCCTCACCCCTGTATTGCAGCTACACTGGCCTCATTCCTGTTTCTCAACCACATCAAGTTGCTTCCTTGATTTACCTATTTATCCCCTCGAGACTATAAATAGCCCAGAGGCAGAACCACCACTTGGCTTGATCTGTTACATCCCCAGTACCATGTGTAGCACCTAGCACACAGTATGTACTCAATAAACATTTATTGAGTGAATCCCTACTAAAATGTATCTTGCCAGCTTGAATTCATCCTTCTAGACCAGTGAGATGTTTTGTGGAATACCAATGTTGTCATACAGTAGATCTGCTCAGTTTTAAGCTTTGTGCCATTCTCAAACATCTCCCAAATTAAAAAAAAAAAAAAAAAAAGCAAGCCCAAATAGGACAAAGTTCCAAACAGAATCTGCCATCAACCCATTTTAAAGCCAATTAACTGGGGCACCTGGGTGGCTCAGTCAGTTAAGCGTCTGCCTTCAGCTCAGGTCATGATCCCAGGGTCCTGGCATCGAGCCCCACATTGGGCTCCCTGCTCAGCAGGGGGTCTGCTTCTCCCTCTCCTCCCTACTTGTGTTCTCTCTCTCTCAAATAAATAAAATCAAAAACAATTTTAAAAATTAAAAAAAAATAAGGCCAACTATTTTATAATTAGGCCCCAAACTGGGGGGGGGGGGAACAGGTCTGATAAAAAACTATTATTAAAGGAACGAGCTATGAACAGCTTGGGGGAAAAAGACTCTGTGAGAATATTAAAAGTATTTTCAAATATTTAAAGGACAGACAAGTGGAAGAAAATTAAGATTTGTCCTCAAATATCCTTTACAAACTCAGGAGAGAGAACGCCTGTTGGCTATAGTAACCTGGGGCCTATTTCAGGGCAGCTTCAGTGACCATCAGAGATATCCAGAGAGGAAATGGTATGTCTCTTGAGTAGAGACTAATGCCTCATAACTAAGGTATTCAAACAGTAGCTGGACAATCATCTATTTGCAATTAGGTAGAAGAACTCAACCATTAGAAAAAAGGAGTTTTAAAGTCCCCTCTAACCCTGAAATTTCAGGGTTCACTACATACAAGAGTGAGCAGTGACAATTAGCAGTCAAAATTATGATGCCAACATCAACTCAAGATTAGATGAATGCCAAGTACTCTAGTCAAGGCTGTTCAAGGTGCATAAACCTGGAGAGTTTTAAAAATCACACAGGCCTTGGCCCCAACCGCAGAGACTTACTTATCCATGTATCTGTCCATTCTTCCATTCAAATATTTACTGAGTCCCCTCTATCTGCCAAGCACTGTGTTGACTGCTGTCTGACAGAACTTTCCATGTATACCCGCCCTGAGAACTCCAAATGTGACTAATGCAGCTAAGGAACTGAAATTTTAATTTTATTTCATTTTCATTAATTTAGTTTAAATTTAAATAGGTTCTGGCACCTATGTTCTTCGTACCAAAAAATTAAGAATCACTATTCTGGTTACTAGGGCAAATGATTTAAAATCTCTAAATTGAGGGGCGCCTGGGTGGCTCAGTTGGTTAGGTGTCTGCCTTCAGCTCAGGTCATGATCCCAGGGTCTTGGGATCGAGCCTCACATCAGGCTCCCTGCTCAGCGGAGTCTGCTTCTCCCTCTCCCTCTGCCTCCCACCCACTTGTGCTCAATCTCTCACACACGATCTCTCTTTCTCTCAAATAAAGTCTTAAGAATAAATAAATAAATAAATAAACAAATACATAAAATCTCTAAATCGAAACAAAAAAGTCTATTATTGTTAAAAGGGGAAAATATTAACTACAAAGGTTCACTTCTAGAGCATTTCAATCAGTCAAAATTTTCTAGTAATCTAAACTACTTTTTGTTAAAGTCCTAAAATGGATAGCACTTAGATGCCCATTACGTGTGCAGCAGAACTCACATGAGTGCAGAATGTCTGGGGACTTTTCTGGAGCATCATTTGCTTCTCTGGTGTCATCCTGCCCCACCCCTGCCCCTCACCACCTAAGAAGTGCTGCCAGGCTCTTACCCGCTCCTCTTTGGTGTAGAGCTGGAAACACTGGGATAAAGTGCAAGTCTGAGGCTGATGATGACGCTCCCTCTGCAGACGGACACTTTCTGCATCAGGAATATATTCATCTTCAGTATTTACAAACAAGCTGCAATGGGGGAGGGGGTGGGTATTTATCAGAGAATGTCTTGAAAAACTGACCCCAAAATTGCAGCTTCACAATGTGACTATAAATTTATAACCAAAAAGAACCAATGTGTAATGAAAGTAAACAGGTTATCCAACCAGTCATCCAACTTTTCTATGTTTCAAAATATTCTTGAAAAGTTCTGTATCTATAAAGTTATTTTCAAGAAATAACTTGGGAGTTGGTTTTCATGGGATTGGCCATGAACTATTAATTCATATATTCTTGTCCTTTGTATCTAAGGGCATGCATTTGGTATAATTTACTGGAATTAATGGGCCTGTAATAAAAATCAAAGGGGCACCTGGGTGGCTCAGTTGGTTAAGCATCCCACTCTTGATTTCAGCTCAGGTCATGATCTCAGGGTTGTGAGATTTAAGCCCTGAGTCGGGCTCCTCACCCAGCATGGATTGAGATTCTCTCTCTTGCCCTCTCCTCCCCTCCCCCACCCCTGCTTGAGCATGCTCTCTCTCTCTAAAAATAAAAAAAAAAAGTAATTGGCCCTGTACAGTAATGAATAAATAGTTCTGTCTGATCAGCAGCAAACATTCAGAGGTTTTTGAGATCCAGACAAAAGAATGTACAGGAAAGAAATAACTGGTTAAATAAAGGATTAGCAACCCACTTGGAAACTTAAAGAGAGATTTGTTTCAGCTAATCTCAAAGATCAAAGGGATGTTATTAAAATGATAATTAAATCAATGATTCTATAAGCACTAAGTAAAAAAAATACTCACAAATCTTTTGTTTCCTTGTCCCATTCTACCACTAACTTCACATGAGCAGTGCCACCTGGTCCACAAGATTTTAATGCCCTAGAGCATGGAGACGAAGTCACATATTATATTCTAAAGAAATGATTTTACTTACGTACTATTTGAAATTAGGTATCATAATATGATTACCGAAAATCTTCATCATTGTTCCTCATCAGAAAAAGTTTCTATTGAGACCATTATGACCTCGTATCTAGAGTAACTAGGTTACAATTGGACTGAAAAATCCTTAAATTAAAACATCCAGTATAGAAATAAAGAGATTGGAAGAAATTAGTCTCATGTTATAAGGCTGTCCACAATCACTTCTACATATTCTTTTTTTTTTTTTTTTTTTTATGACCTTTCCAACTTTTGTCTCATTTCTCACCAACCCAAAGAGAGACCGGATAATAGTTCCTCTGGAAACAAAGTCTGCTCCTACATCCCTCCTTCTCCCCCATAAACCATGCACAGAGGTAGCAGAGTGAAGTGACTAAGTCTACTGAGGGAGAGGTGGGACAGAAAGAAGGCTTGAAGGAACGGAATGATCAACAGAGGACACCACACATGCAAAGGCACACACGAAGTGGTGCCAACATGTTCCAACAATCCTTGTGCTCTGATACTACTGAAGGTCTAAGATGGGAGGAGGAGAAGAGTGGGGCCTGACAAGCAGGAAGTAAGCAGGGTTCAAACTGTGTAGAGTTTCGTACACCATGGAAGCTGGGCTTTATCTTTTAGGCTACAGGTTTCCATTTAAGATTTCCAGGAGGAAAGTGGCATGATGAGAATTCTACTTTGGCAAACTTCCATCCTGACTGAATATTAAAGTGTAATTTATCTGTAGTCCTGGGACATACATTAATTTGCTTTCCTGATTTCAAAAAAGATCATATATATCATACTCAAATGTGAATGAAAAGTAAAATAAGTATACTTAATTTCTAAATGAGCCTAATGAGCCTACCACACTTAGGTAGAAATTATACCAGACACCACTAGAAATTACAGAGGAAGATAAATAAAATTCTAGCAGGTGACTGATTGATCGATTCTTACCTTTCTACTGTTGGGTGGCACAGCGGCTGCTCCTCCTGGGGCAGCAAGTACGTTATCCCCACAACACTGACAACACGCAAACTGAATGGACACACCTGCATCAAACAGTAAAGGAAAATGTGGCTGAATTTCTCCCCAAGGGCATGTGCGTCAGTGGCATTTCCAAAACAGATGAGAGGGACAGCAAATGCTTTTGCAAAATGCTTCTCTCTGATACTCTTTTAGGTTGTTGAGCCACTCTTACACACTTTAAAGATGATTAACCTAAATGCAATTTACGTATCAAACATGTTATGCAGGACAAGTAATATGCTGCTTTAGGCTGAACCTTAATTTAATGTAAGTCCTCCATGGATACCTTCATATAATAATCCTAATTTTGAAAATATACAGATACCTGTTCTACATTCTCTCAAAGCTGATCGTGTGCTAATCTTTATTAGATAAATATATATTATAAAGAAATACCTAGCAGTTCAAGGGAATTCTTGCAGTGGCCAGAAAATGAGGGGTAAATCCTTAGTCCTGAAAATCTGAACACAGCAGGTTTTACCAAAGAGCTTTTCACCAGGGCTCCTCAACATCCCAGCTCAGCGCCTGGTCTTCCCTAAATGCAGAGGTCCGAAATTCAAATTTCACCACAGTGACTGTTTCTTCACTTGGGTACACATGCATGCTATGCTGGAGTGTCAATATGCTTACTCACCTGGATGCAAACTGTGGGCCTCAAGAAATACTTCATCTTCTCCAAGATTTCCTTCTGCAGAAGGTCCCACGCTATTGTCTTCTCTAAGTGCAGCACAAAAGGCAGTCCAAATCTAACACACATAAATATTGCAATCACCTTAAAAGTACCGCAATCCCTTTAATATTGTAATTGTTTATTCATGGTCTCTTAAAATAGAATGACTATATTATTGGGTTTAAGACAGTTCTCAAAATAAAACAAACAGGAAATTTAATAGTTACTCCCATAAGTAGATGAAAAAGCAGAGAAGCTCAGATTTCTAAACAAAATTTAACAGTTTATGTGTCAAAATGGCTTCTAGGCGATACTAGGTAGCAAGAGGACAGGATCAATGAATATGGTGAGGAAAGACGACAGGAGTGGACATGGTCTGACTAACAGCATGGGTCCCCATATACGGGGCTGCGTGCTGGAGTAACAGACAAGGCTAGAAGGTCTGGCAGGCAGGTGGCCGTAGCCTGGTTGTCTGACAAGGAAGGCACTGGCAAGCAAGTGACACAGAAAGTCAGCTCCCAGCCTACAGTAGAAGCCATGTGGCCCCTGCCCATGCTGGACTCCTAGGAGTACCGTACCCCGGTTCTCAGCTTTGGCTATACATTGAGATCACTAAGGGAGCTTTAAAACACAGTGATGCCCAAGTGCAGCCCCCGAGATTCTGCTGTAATCACTCTGGTACATGGCCCAAGCACAGAGATGTGCTGAGGAACCCCCAGGTGGTTCTGATATGCAGCCAGGGCCGAGGACCCCTGGCCCAGCCACACTCTCATCCCAGCCCAGCCACTCAGACCTATTCTTTTGCCCTACACGTGTCCTACTCACTCTCTGTGCGGTCAACTCCCTCCGCTCGGAACACCCCTCCCACCCTTCCTCTAGGCCACCTCCTACTCACTCATATCAAGACCCAGCAGAGGGATTCTTCTGCAGGAAGCACCCTGTTGACTTGTTCCCTGTGCTATGTGGGCCACGGCATTCACTCCACCGTGCTGCAAATACTGTCTATCTTCCTGCCTCCACCAGTAGACTGAGTTATCTGACAGCGGGAACTATGATTCATCACAGTACCCCACACCCAGTCAATGCCCAGAAATCCATACATGCTTAATGAATGAACAAAGGAGCCAAAAGAAAATCCCTGACTCAGGCTGAAGCAGAGGCACTCAGATCAAGAAAGCCATTCCTTACAGCCTCATTCTACATAGAGCAGTATTCCACAAACAGCACTGTGATGTGAAAGAAATGACAAGCACATGTAAATCAGCCACTCCTATTTTTCACATGGTCATGTCTTCACTTGTAAGAGAAGGAATCATTACAAAAGGGACTCCACAAGTTCTTTATTTTATATCAACACACTGAGCTGCCTTTCTTTCTGCCCCTTAAATAAACATGCCAAGTTCTCCTTAGCCTCAGGGTCTTTGTACTCATGTTCTCTCCCCACGCAGCCTTCTCCCCAGAGGCTCACATCACTCACACCGTCTCCTCAGCTCCATGCTGCTTCCTTAGGTGGACCTCCCTGTCCCCACCTCTAGCATGGTCTGGCTGCCCCCCGACCAGCACACTCCATCATCCAGGCCTGCTTTAATATCTTCAAAATGGTGAGGACTGTTTGAAGTGACATGTGTTTACTTGTTTACAGTCGGTCTGTCCTCACTGGGATGTAAGCTGCACAAGAACACAGTCTGTCTTGTTCACTGCTCTATCCCCAGTGTTGGAACAGTGCCCAACACACTGTAAACACTAAAGTATTTGTTAACAAGTATCATAAATATACAAATCAACACATCATACTTATTTAACCATCATTAAATAAGTTAGTTCTAAGCAACATTTTAAAAGACTAATAAAATGCTACCCTGACAAACAGCAGAAACAGAGTCCTTTGTCCCTGAAACATATCCATATTTCATTATTACTCAGATTACATTACTATTGTGATAGAACTGCTTTAAAAGATAGTCTAAACCTCCCATATATTCTTAGCAGGAAACAGATTTGAGAGAGATTTGCAACTCCCAAATTTCTGACTTAAGTAGCTGAATGAATAGTGCTGCCATTTGCTGAGACAGGAAATACTGGAGAGCCAGATTTACAGAGAAAGAGAATCAGTTCAGTTTGGAACATAAGACTGAGGTGCATGTACCATTCAAGTAGATATGTTAAGAATTAAAAAAAAAAAAAAGGCTGTTAAGAAAGTAGCTGGATATAGGCCTATAGGCCCCATGAGGAACCTGAGCTAAAAATAAACACATGAACCGAGCCTTTAACAACTAGACGAGCTTGAAGAGCCTTTCTAATTCAGATTCTATCATCCTAATTTTATATTCTCCTCCTCCCAACCCCTCAAAATGAGGTCAACTTATACACATATTCTTTCTAAATATTGGAATCAAAAGTTAATAAAAGTAAGGGTTTTTCATCCCCACTTTTTAAAATGTTTGAAAATATTGGACTTTTAAAGTTTCAGCACTTATTAGTAAGCCAGTTTTTACCTTTTCCCTTGCTGCCCAGTGCAGGCTCGGTTACACACTAATAGAACAATCTTGTCGTTTCCAGCTCTTGCTGGGGGCAAGTCTGTTTTCCCTTGCTTTGCTGCAGTTTGTGTAGGAGAAGACAGTCGATGATGATCCAAGCCAAATTTCAAGTGGTTTAGATTATTGTTTAAGTGGATTCCTGGAAAAAATAAAATAAAAAACTTATTCTATCAATTCAAAATTCTTTTCATTCATTACAAAGACATTCACCCAATAGAGAAATTAAGAAGTTGCATTATGTAATTTAAACTATAATCAACCCCCACAAATGATCTACTTTGAGATAACTTATCCAGTCATTAAAATAATTTTTTTCTTTTCTTTTTTTTTTTTTTAAGTAGGCTCCATATCCAGCGTGGAGCCCAAGTGGGGCTTGAACTCATGACCCTGAGATCAAGACCTGAGCTGAAATCAAGAGTCAGAGGCTTAACCGACTGAGCCACCCAGGCATCCCATCATTAAAATCCTTTAAACTAGCTTGATGTATCTTGAAAACTGAAATTTAAAACTCTTCACTTGAGGTCACCTGGGTGGCTCAGTCAGTTGAGCATCTGACTCTTGATTTCAGCTTAGGTCATGATTTCGGGGTCCTCGGATCAAGCCCCACTTCAGGCTCCATAGGTGGTAGGGAGTCTGCTTGAGGATTCTCTCTCTCTCCCTCTGCTCCAGCCCCCCCATGGATGCTCTCTCTCTCTCAAATAAATCTTTAAAAATAAAAAACAATAACCTCTTCACTTGAGTGAATACTGGATACCGTTTTAGAAGAGCAAGTTTGCAGAGATGATCCAACAAGACAAATTTAAGGTAAGACCATGCAACCAGCAACCAAATAAATTGGAAAAAAAAAATTAAGACTAGTAAATGTGGAATGATCTTCCAATATTCTCACTGCAGTTTCTTCTCCCTAATTAAAGAGCCAGAGTTATAAGAAACAAAAGATAAACCACGCTTACTAGATTCACAGCCATTATAGGACATGTCAACTTTAGTACAATCAATCACACTAGATGGACCTACATTTAAGTGAACAAAAATATATGATTGATTGGCATGATACAGGTTGCTGAAAATCAGGTGAAAACAGAGCTGTCAATCAGAGCTACTCAGCAATTCAGGACCTAGTACAATGCCCTGTACTTAGGAGAAACTCAATTAAGTGCTTGATTAAACAATTGTTCATTTCAATGGAATACTATTCAGCCATAAAAAAGAAGGAAATCTTGCCATTTGCAACAACGTGGATGGACCTTGAGGGCATTATGCTAAGTGAAAGAAGTCAGAGAAAGATAAATACCATATGATCTCATTATATGTGGAATTTAAGACAACAACAATGAAACCATGCTCACATATACAGAGAACAGATTAGTGGTTGCAGGGGGTTGGATGGTGTCAGGCAAAATTAGTGAAAGGGGATCAAAAGGTACAAACTTCCAGCTATAAAACAGATAAGTAAGGAAATGTAATGTACAGCATGGTGACTACAGCTAATAATAATACTGTACTGTATATTTGAAAGCTGCTAAGAGAGTACATCTTAAAAGTTCTCATAATAAAAAAATTTTTGTAATTATATGGAGATGGATGTTAACTAGACTTCCTGTGATGATCATTTTGCAGTATATACAAATACTGAATCATTATGTTGTACCCCTGAAACTAACATGTTATATGTGAATTACACCTCAATAAAAAAATAATAAAATTAAATTAAAATAATTGTTCACCTCTTTAATCCTCAGAAGTACAGCCTAAGGAAATTATACCCAAACCTGGAAATAGAAGAAAGCCCTCCAGGTTGCCGAGGTGGCTCAGTCGGTTAAGCATCTGCCTTCAGTTCAGGTCATGATCTCAGGGTCCTGGGATCAAACCCCACGTCAGGCTCCCTGATCAGGAGGAGTCTGCTTCTGCCTCTCCCCATTCCCTGTGCTCTCTCTCTCTCACTCACTCTCTCTCAAATAAATAAAAATCTTTAAAAAAAAGAAAAAAGACGAAAGCCCTCCACCACCACCACCACACACACATACAAATAAGACCACCACCAAAAGGAGAATAAAATAAAAAGTGGCTATACAAAAGTATTCGTAGCAGCATTTTAGCAATAACCTAAATATCCAGCAATATAAGACTTGCCAAACCTATTAAGGGACATCAGCATTACAGCAATTTAAAATGACCAGTATGTGGTTAATCAAAATAAATTCCAGGTGAATTAGAGTTTTAAAAAAAAAGTATACAGAAACTAGAAGTAAGAAAAAATGGAATCTTCATCAAGCTATTAGAGAGAGGAATACTTTTTAAGCTTAAACACCAAAAAGAAATCACAAAAGGAAGAACAGATTTCACTCCATAGCCATTTTAAACTTTGGTATGAGAAAATAAAAATAAAAGAAGTCTGAATTTGAGACAATGAACAACCTCATTTCCCACCTCCTTGCAGAAGGCTGGGAAGACCTGTTCTAAAGTGATGAGGGGGTACCACTCAACTGCACAGAAATCAAGCTCTGTGTTCAAAAAGCACACCCACTTACTACCAGCTGAATGACTGGGATGGTTACTCAACCACCCCAAGTCTTCGCTCTCTCATTTGCAAAGTGGGGAAGGTAGCAGCTTCATATGTCTCAAATAAGTTATTTACAAGGCTTTAACAGAGGCTAACACATACTCAATAAGTGGTACAGTCTTCCAACAAAAAAACTCTCTGGTCAGTAGATGATAAACTTGGACCTCACCAAAGTCACTTAAAAACAGAAACTTAGTGTTAACCCTTAGCCATGGGGGTGTGAAAGGGGATTTGAGCAAATTTTCAGTTGAACAAACATTAATTGGGCTCTTGTTATGCATTAGGAACTATACTGAACTGCCGGGTACAGAAAGATAAAACACAGCCCCAACTACAGAGAATTTTGCAGTGTGGTGGAAGGACAGAGGAGAAAAAAGATTATTTGCACACAACGTGCTAGTGTCAGAGATTAGCAGAAGATGTGACTGGAGCAAGGAGGAGGAAGTCAGCCAGCCCACCTGGGGGGGGCCCCGCGGGGGGGTGAGGGGGGGAAGCTTTCTGGACAAGGTGATAACTGAGTATTCTTTTACTGTAATGTAATAAAAGTGGAAAACAATTTGAACAAAGCACACACATGAAAATGCAACTAGAAAACAAAAAGAAGCGGTTAGGTCAAAGAAAAATCAAAACTGAAATAACAGACTACTTAGAAAATAATAATGTAAATATGGGTATACCAGAGATAACGGAATCCTAGGCTGGCAATGGAGAAAGCTGACCAACCCAACGTACAGAATTATGTAAAGGTTCAGAAACTAGAGGCACCTATCGAAGTAGGTAGTGAAGAAAAAGAGGAACTAAAATAAGGACATTCAACAAGGGCACCAAGATCATTCAAAGCGGAAAGAATGTTATCTCCAACAAATGGTGCTAGGATTACTACTTACATACAACAAAAGAATGCAGCTGAACACCCACCTCAAACCATATTCAAAAATTAATTCAAAATGGCACAAAGATCTAAATGTAAGAGCTAAAACTACAAAACTCCTAGAAGTAAACACAGGGGTAAACTTCATGATCCTGGATTTAAGGATGAAATCTTAGATAAGCAACAAAAAGCATAAGCAACAAAAGAAGAAAATAATTAGACTTCATCAAAACTAAGAACTTTTTGTGCATCAGAAGACACTATCAAGAAAGTGAAAAGGCAATCTATAGAATGGGAGAAAATATTTGGAAGTCATGTATCTGATAAGGGTCTAGAACCAGCATATATAAAGAACTCTTACAACTCAGTAACTTTACATCCCAATTTAAAAATGGGGGAAAATTTTGAATAGACATTTTTCTAAAGAAGGTAAACAGATGTCCAACAAGTACATGAAAAGATGATCAACATCATTTATCATGCAAATACAAGCACAAAGATACACCACTTCACACCCACTGGGATGGCTATAATCAAAAAGATGGAAAATAGCTTCCTTTCGGCCAGAACCGCCATCTTCCAGTAATTCGCCAAAATGACCAACACAAAGGGAAAGAGGAGAGGTACCTACTATATGTTCTCTAGACCTTTTAGAAAACATGGAGTTGTTCCTTTGGCCACATACATGCAAATCTATAAGAAAGGTGATATTGTGGACATCAAGGGAATGGGCACTGTTCAAAAAAGGAATACCCCACAAATGTTACCATGGCAAAACTGGAAGAGTCTACAATGTTACTCATCATGCTGTTGGCATTGTTGTAAACAAACAAGTTAAGGGCAAGATCTTGCCAAGAGAATTAATGTACGCATTGAGCATATTAAACACTCAAAGAGCCGAGACAACTTCCTGAAGTGTGTGAAGGAAAATGATCAGAAAAAGAAGGAAGCCAAAGAGAAAGGTCCTTGGGTTCAACTGAAGCGCCAGCCTGCCCCACCCAGAGAAGCACTTTGTGAGAACTAATGGAAAGGAGTCCGAACTGCTGGAACCCATTCCCTATGAATTCATGGTATGATAAATGTAAAGAAAATAAAAGACCTCAAGACTGTAAAAATGTTTCTCTTAATTGAGTAGAAGTGTGGTGTCCTTTCCCTAAAAAAAATATTTAAAGCAAACTTTGTGTCCTAAAAAAACAAAAAAAAAGATGGAAAATAATAAATGTTGGCAAAAATGTGGAGAAATTATGACCCTCATATATTGGTGGATGAAAAATGATTCACCTGTTGCAAAAAACAGTCTGACAATTCCAAGAAGGTTAAACACAGAATTACCATGACCCAGTGTTTCCACTCCTAGGGGTGTGTATGTGGGTGTATCCCCAAAAAACTCTAAACAGGTATTCAAACAAATATTTGTACATGAATGGTCATAACAGCACTATTTCATAATGTGGAAACAACCCAAATGTCCATCAACAGATAAATGGATAAACAAAATGTGGTATATACATGCAGTGGACTACTATTCAACCATAAAAAGGACTGAAGGACTGATACATGCTACAACACAGATGAACCTTGAAACACTATGCTAAGTGAAAGAAGCAAGTCACAAAAGGCCACATATTATATGATTCTGTTCACATGAACGTCTGAACTAGGGAAAGCTACAGAGAGTAGAACAGTGGTTGCTTAGGACTGGGTAAGATGGGGAGATGCGGGGAGGTGTGTGTAGGGGAGACAAAGTAGGAGCTGAGAAAGGAGCTGACAGTTGGAAAGTATAAAAGTACATGACATATTCGAGAAATACAGAGTAACCTAGATAGGGTACATGGGGAAGGAGATGGAATATAGTAAAGAGGCTGGAAAGAAAGGCAAGGACCAACCGTGACGGGCCATGCATTCTTCCAAGGTGTTCAGATTTAATCTCAAAGGGGAAACACTGGCAAATCAATAAGCATATAATATGATCAGAAATGTATATCCAAATAAGTCTGGTGGCACCATGGAAAAATAGAAGAAAGTCTAGGGGTAAAGATATTAGAGAAGTTACTAGAAATGCCCAGTTGAGACTGGTCTGAGCTGTACCAGTGGCAAGAGGATTGAGGAGTAAAACTGCATAGTGTTTAATCATTTCTATGTGAATTTTGAGGAAGAAGTGCTTAGATCCACCTTGGGTGAAAAGAAGGATGGTGGTACCATGATTCCAGAGAAGAAATGCAGGAGGATCGGGTCTAAGAAATGCTGAGTGTTAAGATGACGCAGGACTTCTAAGCAGAGATTCCAATGGACAGTTAAAAGTCAGGGAATGGAGGGGCGCCTGGGTGGCTCAGTCGTTAAGCGTCTGCCTTCGGCTCAGGTCATGATCCCAGGGTCCTGGGATCGAGCCCCGCATTGGGCTCCCTGCTCTGTGGGAAGCCTGCTTCTCCCTCTCCCACTCCCCCTGCTTGTGTTCCCTCTCTCGCTGCGTCTCTCTGTCAAATAACTAAATAAAATCTTAAAAAAAAAAAAAAGAAAAAGAAAAGTCAGGGTATGGAAGGAGAAGAAAAGAGGATGAGCAGGGAGGTTCAGTTCTAAAAATCATGGCAGTAGAAAGACACTGCTTGGACTAGGTTCTCAGTTCAGCAGTTCTCGAACTTTGGTGTGCACTGGAATCACCTGTGAAAAACAGCATGCTGGGCCCCACCCCCAGAGGCTCTCGTTCAGTAGGTCTGGAGTGGGGTCCAAGAATCTGCATTTCTAACCATGTCCCAGGTGCCTCTCAAGCTTTAATAATCACTGGAGTAAAGAAAAAGAACAGAAGCCCCAGAACCATGAAGAACAGTAAGGCCAAGAACAAAGTTTGAGTTGCCTAGCAACTTTCAAAATCAGAAATAGCCCCCAAATCCTCCAAGCACAGTTGAGAGACAGGCTTAGTTCTAAATCACAGCCCAAACCATAGGAAAAGGATCGGCACTGTCCACAGCTGTACTTTCTTTTGCTGCCTATTGATGCAAATTTCTTAAAAGCAAGGTAACAAGAAAACATTTTATAGCAGAGTTAGAATTTAGAAATTAAGCATTGGAGCAGGTAACAAAATGCAAAAAAAAAGGCAGCTATGGCATCATGCATCTTCCCAAATGCTGTCATAAGATGCTTAAGAAGCCACTTAACAGGGCGCCTGGGTGGCTCAGATGGTTGGCCATCTGCCTTCGGCTCAGGTCATGATCCCAGGGTCCTGGGATCAAGTCCCACGTCGAGCTCCCTGCTCCTTGGGGAGCCTGCTTCTCCCTGTGCTTCTGCCTCTCTCTGTGTGTGTCTCTCATGAATAAATAAATAAAATCTTTAAAAAAAAAAAAAAAGAAGCCACTTAACAGAAAAGGAGGAAGGATTCAGTCAGTTCTGAGCCTCAGATAGGGGCTGCTCCAACTGCGGGCAGGAAAGATTAGAAACTAACGAAATATCTTTGTCTGAAACGGTGAGAACTGCCTTCTTCCAGAGAAAAGTTACCATAAAATTTACACCATTATAAAAATAAACGTTATGTGTATTTTACCATAATTTTAAAAAGTATGCCATCATATAATAGACATCTCAAAGGGTAGACAGTTGTGCAACCTGCAAACCCTTATGGAAACAGATGCTCATTTACCTCTTTGACTGAGAATTCCTTCAGGCCTAAATATTTCTGGAGTCTCAAAGGCAAAAATGCAGTCGCTTTCATGGACTGTTTCCAGGTCGTCAGTGTCACAAAAGGAACGATGGAACCCATCATAGTACATTTCCGTTAACACAATCTAAAAATGGGAAAAATGTAAACAGTTGGGTAACTGGAAAGCCAGTAAGAATTGATCTCCCGATTCTACCATGAGCTTCTCCAGCCCGTCAGGGCTTGCGGGAACGTGAGAGGGCTCTGAAACACGTCACGGAGCCCACACTATCTGCCTTTAGTAAGTGAATTGTAGAAGCATGACATCCTCTGTAAATGTATAATATGCTCTCATTTCAGAACGCCATGGCACTGAATCCAGATTTCCTTTAAGTTTTCGTAAAGAAGAGCCCCCAGGAAATGACAAAGTATAAGCCCCTTGTCTCACAAGGGGAAGAAACTGAAGAGAGGTGGGAGATTTGCCAATGAGTATCTGACTATTCAGTCTCGCACCAAGCAAGCAAGGTGGGAGACTTGCCAACGAGTATCTGACTATTCAGTCTCCCTCCACATCTGATTCCGAGACTTTCTCCTACATCAGTAACTTTTCTTTGTTTCAGGTTAAAAAATGTCATAACAACCACCGATTTTGTAATAGGAAAAAAAATGAAATCAACTCAAATGTCCAACAATAGGAACTAATTAAATATATTATAGTCCTACTGTAATTACAAAGAATGAGCCGAATAATATATAACCAACATGGAAAGATCTCCTAGTTAAATAAGATGTAACATAAAGAATAATGTGTGTAATCAATTTCATTTTTATAAAATAACAAATGTAGTATATGCACAGGAAAAAATAGGAGTGAATATACAACACAGTATTAGAGAGTTAGTAACTCTTAGTTCTAAGATACTTAGGACAAGATACTTCCACTTTCTAAGTCCTGTTTCTGAAATGGCTGAGTATTTCACAATAAAACAAAACAAAACAAAAAAGACGGGGAAAAAAAACAATGGAAACATTTAGATGCTCATTACATGCTCAGCAGCACTGTCTAGAGAAAAAGCACTGGATTGGACATGAAGAGGTTCCAGTCCCAGCCTGCCACCAACCAGCCCTATGCTCTTGAACAAGTCACATGGTTTCTCTGGGCCTCCTTCAAATGAGGGGGTTGGAAGGGACCCCTAAAATCCCCTCTGCTAACACAAATGTACTACGAGTCTGTGAGGTGAAAGAGGCTGGTGGCACATTCCACAAATAGTCCAAGAAAAATATCCCTAGCACATTTTTCTTCTGATGAGTTTAATAACCACATTGTTTTTCTGCAGGTGAACATGCAAGATAATTTATTTTCTCCAGCAAGCTAAGGTCAAAAACAAATTTGTAATTCTATCAGCCATTTAAACCACATGCAAAAAGAGCCCGAGAGCACTGGAAGCTTTAAAGATACAACCAGGGGGCGCCTGGGTGGCTCAGTCGTTAAGCGTCTGCCTTCGGCTCGGGTCATGATCCCAGGGTCCTGGGATCGAGTCCCACATCGGGGTCCCTGCTCGGCGGGAACCCTGCTTCTCCCTCCCCCACTCCCCCTGCTTGTGTTCCCTCTCTCGCTGTGTCTCTCTCTGTCAAATAAATAAAATCTTTAAAAAAATAAAGATACAATCAGATCTGCCCTGGACACACAGCTCAGCCTGCCTCCCTCTTTCAGTCTTACCCCTCATCCTGAAGGGAAAAAAGGAATCAAAAAGCACTTGAGAGTAAGGAAGAATATGAACATTTTATCAACACACCGGTACTTGGCCCATGAAAATATGAGATATTCGCTATATTAAGGCAATACCGCTGGTTGTATTCGTTTTACTGCAGTAACTTCCCAAATGAAGCCACATGAGGCCAACGTACAAAACACCTTTATTAATCATGTGATTACATAGCAGCTTCCAGAAGCTATCTAGGGAAAAGTTATCCTACCACAGGATCATCTTTCTTAGTAAATCTAAAATAAGAAACGTTTTTCTAAATAAAATCGTAATAGTGAATTGAGTAAAAACTGTATGCAAAAATGTCAAGTAACAAATAGGCTAAAAGTATTTTGGGTCAATTTAAATATAACTACTGATCAAAAATGTACCCAAAAAAAGAAGGCAGAAGGGGCACAACATTCCTTTCTCTCATCTAAATGAACTGAGTCTCTGACACAGCTTTAAGCAGGAAGCGAACCATATTGAGCATCTGTATGTACTGTAGCAGCGAGAAGATATCCATTCTCATCAGCACAACGGAAAGGGGTTCTCAAGAGCCACTAGTGGGGTTTTCTAAGCCTTTCCGACCTCCAAATACCACAGGGATGCTCTTCCTATTGCCCACATAAGCATCCATAAGGCTAGTTTAAGAGAGGCTGAGTAATTATACTTTATAAACAAAGCTAAAAGAAGGTCTTAGTGTCAAGTCACAGCTTTCCTTTTAAAAATACATGTACAATTAAATGAAGCATGAAAGTTTTGATGTACATTTTCCCTCTTTGGATCTTGATTTTTCTTTCCTCAATACAGACACAACTGGTTTTACATTTCTATCTAACCATACTTGGCAGAGGACTGTTAGAAAATTCCAGAACAGAAAGCAACACTTTTATGGCTCATATGTAATTGGCCTGAGCAGGCTTATTACCTGATCAGTGGGGATCTTTGTTTCCATAGACACTGCTTCCCGAAGCCTGGCGACAGTCCCAGACAGAGGCACGGCCACACCAATCCTCATGCAGTGAGAACATTTCCCCTGATACACTACGGTAACATAGAGAGGCCTGTGCAGATCAAAGTCAGATCTTTTCATTAGGCACTTACTTCAACTAAAATACAGAAGCAAAACAAACCTGATCTGAAATTAACACAAAACTGAAGCTAACCCACACCTTTATTTGGAAGCCAAAGGGGGAAAAAAAAATCTCATCTGGACCTAAGTGGAACCAGAAAACAATAATCAAGACATCTTTGGAAAAGGCAGTCAAACAAAATATAACATACCAACACTTGATTCTGTGGTTGTATGTTCTTTACAACAGCATAACTCTCAAAAATTTTGAAAAACAGTTCAAATAAAGCAACTAATTAAAAGTACAACATGAAGTCTCTAGAAAATCTAGAAGGCACTCAACAACCCTCCCCCTGCCCCATACTATCAGTGGATGAGCAACTGAACAGACAACAACCACAGGGACTGTAAAAAGACGCTTGCCCCATGTGCCTGCTCACCCTGCACATTCAGACCAGGATTTATAGACTTCTGTAAGGTTTTTACAAAGCCTGTATTCAATTTATCACTAATCCTATTACTTGTCTAAATAAGTAAGGAGCCCTAACAGGAGCCTCCAGAGGAAAGGAATACACAGGAATGTACAGTCTTAATTTTATTACATCTGTTCTTACCTTGTGTGGGGTAGAGGAATTGGCAAAGAAATGCAGAGGAAAGGGTCAAAAGTGTTGCTCTGCTTCTGACAGTGAGGACATGTCAAAGAAGATCTTCAGAAACAAAAACGAAAGACACGCACAGTAAGATCATTTAGAGCTATGTCAAGCAGACCACATAAGAGACAATTTGATATGCTCATACCTGTACTGGGCTTGAAAAAGTTCTTGTACAAAAGTGCTACAGACAGGAAAAGATGGTCCCTCAGGCATCATATCAGTCTCTGACGGTGGCTAAAAAAAGGGAAAGTACAATTTCACACGTTAGAAGTACCAATTCTTAATGGAAGATGAGCCTGAAACAGTCACAAATGTCCTTGACTTCCTCTACAAGCAGTACATCAGGTCCAGACGTTCCCGTGAAAAGGACGTGCTACAGGCATCGGAACGCAGCGGCCAGGATGGGGGTCACAAGGACGCATGTCACAGGCTCTCCCACAGACTGTGCCTGTGCTGGTCTCTCCACCCCACCCAGGCAGTCCGGCAGTCCTTCCACAGGGTGCTCCCATCTCCCTCCAGCTCCGAAGGTCTCCCCCTGGCCTCTTCCAGGAAATAACCCTAGGCACGGTGCCCACCTGCTCAAGGCCCTGCCCACTGCACTGCTCACTGGGATGCCCAGCCACTCGAAGGCATACTGAATTGGCCTTTTCATGTCCACCCACCTGATAATTAGTCACTGAGCACCTGCGAGCACCTGCAGAGAGCCCCGCAAAGGGCATTAAGACACAATTATAGATAAATAAAGACATAGTGCCTGACCTTGAGTACATCTCAATCTGGTGGGAGAGCCAGCCACAAGCACATGGTCCTATGACAGTACAGAGTGTCCGGGCACAGAAGGACCTTGAATCAGAGTTACTTAACACCTTACAAAACCACAGACTGAAATTTCGAGATACAGTGCAGAATTATCAAAAACTTTAAAAGTGGCAAGAGAATAACTACTCTTTGGTCTTAATTATTTCCATTATATAAATCATTTTACCAATCATATTAAGGTTGCATGCATAAAAATTGAGGATGAATCACTGTTTCTTGGTAGAATATTCTAGGGGTTCAGTTCCTATATATTCAAATCCAATTGTAACAGCAAAGACCTCCATCCATTTCCTTTTTGAGTGTGTATTCATTTCAGTGAGCTGTAAGGCTACATGTCTCACTGGAAAAGAAACCAATTTCTGCTTTAAAAACAGCTTAGTGAACTGGAATCACCTGATTGTAGTCTAAAGCTAGTCATACATGCAAATATGTCCCCTCCCACTAGACTCTAAGTTCCTTAGACACAGCATCTCTTTTATGCTGCCAACAAGCAGTAAACACGGGAAAACTCCTCTAAGTATCCCTGAATTTTATACTCACCCAGAGCTTAGTTGATTTCACTATATTAACTAAATGCAAACTGCAACAACTCCTCAGTGGAGGTCTGAGAGAAGAATCTACACTCACTCCATTCACTAAACCACCACAGAGCTCCCTGCTCACCGCTCCTTGGCTGCCCCAGCAGGGTGCACACCCTCACCTTCAGAGGAGGCTGGCCGCTCTGCTTCACAGCATGATTGAGGTCTTCATGAACTCGGTCCAGAAGCCACAGCAGAAACTCCTGGGCATCATGCTGGGAATTTCCCCGATATTGCAGTGCGTTCTTTGACACAATACTCTACACAGGTAAATAAATCAGCATGAATAGTTGAGTTCCTGGCTTTAAAGATGAACTATTTATAATCCCAAAAAGGGATGTAAAATCTCAAGGGTATTAGAGTAACTTCCTAGAAAGACAGCAATATAAAAACAGATGCTTATGTAAAAACCCCACCCCCAGAAACATGTACAGAAGACTTAAATGCACCTACCCAACAATCCTACTTTGAGGAATATATCTAAAGAAACCATCAAAGAGCATGCCAAGACTTCTAAGAAAATAGTCATTCATCAGGCTTTATAACAGCAAAAAGTTGGTAATAACTTGAACATCTTAAAAATGAGAACATCTTCTAAAATAAGAAACAAAGTATTGAATTATAAACCCAAGTATGAAATAAACACATCTATAAAACATAAATGATTGAGTAAACAAATAAGAAATAAATCTTCCTTATAGAATTCCAAATAATCAACATCAATAGTTCCCTCTCAGGAGTTGGACCTTAACCTTCTACTTTGAATAGCGACTTGCTTCCAAAGACTAGAATATGGAAAGAGGGGTGGCCAATGAAAGGTTCTCAGTGAAATGGTTAAGTTCATGGCTCTGGAGCATAAGGCCTGGGTTCAAATTGCTCTCCCACCACTTGTATTTGTGAGACCGGGGTTTACTCTCTTCCAAAGTAAAAGGGAGAATGGTAATTTAGTGTGGTGGTTAAGTAAGAATGCATGCACAACATTTCACACATAAGTAAGATATAATAAGCACTCAAATTTCAGCTGAGTATGGGATTTGGAAGTAGGGAGGAAGAAGGGGACACAACTGCACAAAGGGAGGGCAATGAAGAGACAAAGGCACTGATGAGGCAAGCAAATAATGAGGATCCAAGCTAAGGCAGTGAGGACAGAAACATGAAGGCAGACCTGAGAGATTTAGGAATTTAGGCAGTAGACTCAACAGGATTTGTGACCTAATGAATGGGGACAGTGAGAAAGGAAGCATTAATGTCCCCAAGGTGTCCTATCTAGATGATGAGCAACTGATGGTACCCCTCATCAAGACAAAATGAAAAAGAAGTCTGGGGAAGATGATAATGAGTCCCCTTTCAAATCTACTGCATTTAAAGTTCTGTGAAACCTCCAAGTGGAAGTACCTGGTAAATAAATGAAGAATACAGATCTGGGGCTCAGTGGAAGAGTGCGCCCTAATGACAAAGATTTGCGAGTCAACAGATGGGTGGTAGTTGAAATCATGAGTATAGCTGAGATTGTCCAGACATGGTCATGAGAGATCAAGTCAGAGGACAAATATATTTGGGGGCTCTCAAAGGAGACCAAGAAAAAGCCACCAAAGACATGGCAAGAAAAGCAGGAGAATAGAGTCTCAAGAATCAAGAGAAGAGGGTTATGAAGGAGAGAGTGATCAATGGCGTTAAGAGCGATAAAACAGGACAAAGAACTAAAAACTGTCCACTGCATTTTCCAATTAAGATGATTATAGGGGAGTGCCTAGCTGGCTCAGTCGGTGGAGTGTGTAACTCTTGACCTCGGGGTTGTGGGTCTGAGCCTCACGTTAGGTATAGAGATCACTTAAAAATAAAATATTAAGGGGCGCCTGGGTGGCTCAGTTGGTTAAGTTCCAACTCTTGGTTTTGGCTCAGGCCATGATTTCATGGGTAGTGGGATCGAGCCCTGCATCAGACTCCATGCCCAGTGGGGAGTCTGCTTGAAGATTCTCTCCCTCTGCCCCTCCCCCCACTCACTCCCTCACTCTAAAATAAATAAATCTTTAAAAAATATTAAAAAAAAAAGAAGGGACAGATTTACAACTTGATTATGAAGAAGAACGATCATAACCTGATGATCAGTTAAATGTGAATGATAACAGATGATTTACGAAGATTCAAATTCAAGGAGGAAAAAAATCAAAGGGACACAAATGAGAGAGAAGACTGAAGTGTCAACTGGCAAAATTTACTATTGGATAAAGTGAGCAAAGGAGAAGAAGGACCCTGATAACAAAGTTTCAGTGACTACAAGGATACCACTTGAATGCTATCTCAGACAAAGGTACACAAAAGGAGAAATGGGTGTGGGGAATCTTCACTATACTACAAAACTTCCCCCAGGGTCAGACACCACCTGAATCATCAAATCCAGTATTTTCTTTCTTGGGCTTCACCTTCCTCAATCTCCTTGTAGCATTTTATACCTGACACCTTACTTCATCTTGAAATAGTTTGGCTTGTGGCCTTATGCACTCATTTAGGAGAATCAAAGCCAGAGCCATTTGGTGTGGACAGTGGGAAAATGTGAGCTACAGAAGAAAGAGAAAATTTCCCAGTAAAGAAAAAAAAAAGACCAATAAAAGCCATCAGCACTAGCAGCACCCCTGATGGTGTGGCCGACTCAGGATGGAAAAGAAACAAGTGACTGGTAATACTATATTAAGGGATACAAAGAAGAAATGAGGGGGGCGCCTGGGTGGCTCAGTCGTTAGGCATCTATCTTCCGCTCAGGTCATGATCCCGGGGTCCTGGGATCGAGCCCCGCATCAGGGGTCCTGGGATCGAGCGCCGCATCGGGCTCCCTGCTCAGCGGGAAGCCTGCTTCTCCCTCTCCCACTCCCCCTGCTTGTGTTCCCTCTCTCGCTGTGTCTCTCTCTCTCTCTGTCAAATAAATAAATAATTAAAAAAAAAAAAAGAAATGAGGGATGACACCAAGGTTTTTAGTATCTGATTTAGATGGATAATGAAATCAGGAACAGAGGAAGAGACTGAGAGACAGTAGAGCTTTGAACACGCTGAATCTGAGGCACCTACAGGATCCCCAGAGTGAGGTGAAGTCTGGTGCTCAGGAAAGAAATCTGAGCTGGAAAGTTAAATCAGAGCAGCACTCTCTTACCGTATGAACACAGAGGAAAAAACCCAGGGAACATCTAATGAGAAAAGGAGGCAGCCAGATTCTTGAGGAAGGATGGCACAGAAAGGACAAGTCACAATAAGAAAGCCAAAGAAGAGCAGCCAGAAGAGCCAGAGAGAAGGAAGCAGCAATGTAAATGACTACAGAAAAGTAAAGTAAGATGGGCAGGAGATGGTCCTTTGGAACAGCAAGTTAAGAAGCTGACAGTGCAGTTTCAGTGAAATAGAATATTGACCAGAGAGGGTGAGAGAGAAGAAAAGGTAAGGAAATTGAATGACTGACTGCAAGACAACCACCCTTCAGATGCAAAGAGGCTCTGTTATAGAAGGAAGGAAGAAGGAAAGATGCTCTGCCTGGTGGGGGACTTACAGGGAAGAGGGACTTGCATACTCAGGGGAAGGAGATAACGGAAGGGAGCCACCTGCAGAAAGAGCATTCTTCAGTGAGGGGCAAAGGGGGAGGTTCAGAAAAGAGGTAGAGAAGTGCCTTAAACAGGAGGTGGGAGAGAGAGAAGAGAAGGGAGGTAAGACAGTTACAGATTCAGAAGTTATAGACAGGAAGGCAGGGAACCTTTATTTTTGTTGGTTGTTTTGGGTTGTTCCTTTTGGGGAAGAAGCACAGGACAGCTGCCAAGAGGAAGTCTCAGGTGTGGTAAGGCTAATGACAAATCTCACGGCATATGGCTGGGGCACACAAACTGCCTGAAGCATGACAAGTGTCTGGTGTAGGAACCCTCTCTCATATTTACTCCCAGTGGGTGTGGGGGAGTTCTCCGAATACACATGTTCCTAAGAAACAAGTTAGCCAAAATCAAGTTCTTCATTATGTGTCACGGCGGACAGTTCATGCACAGTATCTGTCAAATGTCAGAGTGGAGACAATACACAATTCTTTATCAGGACTGCATTAAATCTGATTTATGACTCCTGCCACTATCGCTTCAACTCATCTAAGCACTTATCCCCCAATCACTGTGTACAAAGTGCTGTGCAGAGGCTGCTCGACAAGATTTTTGTTGGGCACGACTCAACAGGCAACAGGACTTCCACAACCTCTGTAACGAGGGCAAAAACTGCTCTAGGTCAACCCCACCCTAAATCACTACATCACAAACTAAGCACGTTTTACAGGAAACCTCCCTGAACACACACAAACACAAAGGTTCCTTTTTCTGCCCCTTTTTCCTCCTTCCCAATGGTGACTTTTTCCCACTGCAGAGACCCAAGGGACTATTTATTTTACTTCTTACCAAGACAAAACAAAACATAGAATAATGTAATAACCATCCTTTAGTACATTTACAGAAGAAAGAAAAATAGTGGGAGTCAAGAAGGAAAAAATAGTGGGAATCAGGAAACCTGGGCCCAATCTTTGGCTCTGCCACAAACCACTGGTTATGTTAGGTAACTCATGGAACCTGCGATTTCTGGTTTATAAAGCAAAGCAGTTGAGTTGGCCATCAATGACACTCCTAGCATCCCAAATCTTCCCCCAAGCTCTTCCCTTAGAGTCCCAACCAGTGATTTGATTTTTGCTTTGGGCCTCATCTGACATTGCTTTGGTTTGCTTTTTATAATTTTTTGCAAAATTAAACCTTAGTTTATTTTTATTTATGTCCTAAAATCAATCTTTCTGTATTTTTGCGGGTTTAAAAAAAAAGGTAATTATCACTGGAGTATGTCATCTATAAATAGGAGCATTGCTACAATCTGAGAAATTATTTAAATTTGTCACTTCTACGAAAAATAGAATATGAGCCTTCTTAAAATAAACCTTCATTTTATAGAAATTTTATAGAATGTGGGTGTGGTGTTTGGAAAAAGATTAACTAACCTATTGGTTTAAATCCTATACATCCTACTATAAATATAAATTTGACCATCGTTCCAATTTTATCTTCAGTTAGGATGATCCTTAATATCCAGTTACTAAATAAAGTAAAAGTCAAACAAATCTTTAAAGCTTTCGAATTTCATAAAACTTCTCTTTACCCTTCAAATAAAATCTTAAGGCATAGATCTACAGAGAACTTTTTTCCCCTTATAAAGAAAAGAGAAAAAAGAAAAGAAAAAAAAAGAGGAGTTGGAAGCATGGCCC